TATTGCACGTTAGATTAGATGGTCAAAAAGAATATTTTTCTTAAGATAAGAATCCAAATGTTGTTCCAAGGAGTTAGGCAAGCAATTAGTCAATGCGGGTTTTTATCATCTCCCTCAATTATTGTGGGATTGGATCGAAAGAGAAAAAGAAATCCATTGAATCTTAAACAAAGTGGAACACCTCAAAAGAAGTTCTCTCTAAACAGAAAATGCTTTGATTACTTTAGCCGTTTGGCCATTGACTTGCCGAAGAAGACCATAAAAGATAAGGCCGACCAAGTTTTTCGTACCATGACTTTCCCACTGTGAATGTTTTTTTGTCACCGTCTTCACACCTAAATGCACAACAAAATCCACCAAAACTAACATTAGGGTTAGTCAACCCAAAGAACGACATTGACAAAAGCAACCCACCCCATTAACCAATCCTTTTCCTTAGCCTTTTCGATTTATAGGCAGCTACATCCTCCATGCCTTTTCCTTTTGAACATCTTTTCCTACTAAACTTAAAAAGACAGGACTTGGATAGTGAGCTTCCACACATAGTTAAGCTACATATCTTAATATATTACATGCAGTTAGGTTTAGTTTGACACATACTAACGAAAACAACTCTGGTAATTTGAAGCTGCCTAACATTTTCACCCCAACTTACCTAATTCTTAATATAGTGCCCCTTTTAATCCTAAAATAATCAAATCCATCTTTGTCTCAAGATTTGTGTTTTGTTGCGAACTTGGATTACGCGTGCTCATGAGCATCATACATTGTACACATAGGAACGAATTAGGAATTGAGGACAAACTACAAACTTTTCTTACAACAATCTATTTTTGTTGAGTACGTATACGTATGGAAATGCTTAATCTTTAGGTTTGGTTTTTCGTTTATGACGATTTATTTTCAGCTGAATCATGATTAGGTTTTGATCAGCCTTCAGCTTTAGATGAAGCATTTCTTAGGATACCTAGGAAACTTTTGAAGTCCAATGCATCACAGAGATCAGTACAGATAGTATTTCCCTTTGGACTTTGTGTGTATGAGAAAGAGGGAGAGGTGAAAATATGAAGAGAATATTATTTCTTTATGTTTGTTCATCAATGTATATATAAGCACAATATTCCTTAAATCCGGCTTGAAAAAGATGCTGCAACAAACAAAATAAGGGTAAAATAGTTGGTTAATTTGAAATAATTACTCAAATATTTTTTATTAATTATTAGCATGAATGTGAAATTCACTATTACCACGTCATCACTTAACTGCTAACTTAACAGATTTTCAAACGGTTTGTAGAGAATTGAAATGATATAATAACTAAACATATGAGATTGAAATATTTTAAAGATTGTATGATGTTGTAATTGCATTCAAATCTGAAAGATGAAATGAAATTTACCAATTAGTATATGTAATAAAAAAAAATTCCAAAGTGTTTTATCCTACTACCTTGAATCATTTGGTACACAAAATTGCATTAGAATGGATAACCTACAAAACTAAAGGTATGTTAAAGGTAGAACTTATAAAATTAGAGTTATGAAATGTGGACACACGGTTTGATACACATATTAACACCTAATGTGTAGAGTCTATTTCGTAATGTATTTCAATGAACCAAATGTCGATATTTTATTACATCATTCATAGTATATCCTTGCAAAAAATTAGAAAAATCCAAGACCAACAAAATATTCATTTTTAGTGAAGAAATTGACGAATACAGTTTTACAAAGAAACACTAAATTTAATCCAAGGGTGATATAATTTCAGATTGAGTGGTTTTTTTTATAGACATGATCTTTGAGGTAATACATAAAAATTAGACGGTTTGATTGTTGAAATACATTATAGAGTGCGTCCTACAAAATGTGTGTCAAAATGTAGGTTCCAGATCCTAACCTATAGAAGATGGATTGTTTACGAAGAAAACTTAACAACTCCAACTAATCCTCCTTAAAATAGTATTAATTTCCTTCATAACTGACAAGATTATAGTAAACCAATAGTACAGGTAATAGCAACAGATCATTGCCCTATTTCTAAACCATTCTAAAACTGATCAAACTGATGTTATTAGTTTTTATAATACAAAATCTTTCAGTTTATAATTTCCAGACGTTGTTAAACAGAAAACCTGGTCCTAACCGAACTAAAGGAGAAGGTACGCCTATAGCAATGTTTAATGAGAAATGTTAATGAGACTATCTAATAGTAAAACTTTTCATGAATTCTCTGTCATCTCACAGTTTCATGTTAATTCATATACTAATATTATAAAATGTTATGCTAAAAACATGAGGCGAGAGAGATTCTATAAAAATCTCACTTTTGAGAGAGTTTATTAGCATTTCTCATGATTAATTATTAATAAATTAAAAGGAAGCTTTACGGTTACATTTTAGTATGATTGATATTATTATCATGCTCCAGTAAAGTGAGTCCAAGATATTATTGTATTTAAATCTGCCTCCAATTATATGGTCTATAGGTTTATATTTTTGAAGTAGGATTCTCTCTCCTTATTTTTTTTTCTTCCTCTTTCCTCCCTTCTTATTTGAAAAGTCACGTTAACATATTATATTAATTTTAGAGAAGTGTTATTGGCACTTCAAAAATCTTATTTTACATTCTTCATAAGTATATAATTTTTTTTTTTTAAATAAAAAGTTTGAAATGTAGAATAAAATTTTTGAAATGCTAATAATAATTTTTTAATTTTATATAATAAAAAAAAAGACAAAATAAATAATGTAAATAAAAAAGAAGACGACGGAAAGAGAATGGGAGATAATTCTCGTCCATCTTCTCATGCATGAGCTGGAAATCACTGAGCAAGTCAGCATGCAGATTACACATTAATTTTTCATATTTCAACCAATCCGCCCTCAACACCTCATGAATCATATGATCTTTAATAGCACAAACCCCGTGAAGGCCACAAGACTCACTCACTCATCCATCAAGGCCTATGCTTTTTTGCGTGCAGTACCTATATTCTCATAATTTTACTATAACACACTGATGAACGTGATGCACTGATAATTTAACGATTAGATTGAAGCTGTTAAAATTTAATTATGCAAATTTAGTGGTTCCATGCATGCATCTATTCATTTTATACACCGAAGTATTGTAGAATTTTTTTATTTCTACACTGTCATCAATCACCTTATTTCCAATCTTTGATAGATTCTTCACTATCCAATATGTTTAATTAATTTGTCCTTACTTAATTAGTAACTTGTCGTCCTTTACATTAATAATACGAAAATTATTAACAAGTGTACTTTTAAATATGTTGATAGTGGACCAACAACAACAACAGTTATACCCAAAAGATGGAGAGTAATTTATTAAAGATATGTTAGTCCCAAACTATCTTTTAGCACTCGCTAACAACAGTTGGGGCATGCGTGACATTACTCCATTGTTTAATTTGTTTATTTTGATATGCCGAAGGATAAAATATACCATCACTTTCTCCATGCAAAAGCTTTCATCTTTATTTGGTATATTTAGCTGGACATAAAAGGCACGTAACCGATCACTGCACAATGCTCCACAATATCTCTATTTTCTTTATATAATAATATAGTTGAAGTTTCAATAGAAAACGTCCCAATCCAAGGCATGATATGAACCCACCAAGATGTCTCAAAGTCCAAATCAGAAGCACCAGGAACAAGAACATAAAAAAGGAACACTCACACCGCTGGATCGTACTTTCTGGGAAAAACATTAAAATACAGCTCTCATCCTATAGTGTTTTTATTCACGTGTTATAATATAAGTATATATATTGTATTCATATTTTAAGATACAATATCTACATATAAACACATGGTGAGGATGTGAAGGTAAAAGACTCACATCAGTAAAAGGAAAAACTTAGTAAGTGCTAATAAGAAGTTGGGCTACGCTTTATATTACCAATTGATTTTATAGTGGAACCTCTATTTTCTTCATGGTACAAAAGCATGTTAATCCATGTGTGAAGTCCAAGATCACAAGTGCTCCACGTCACCTAATTCATGTCGTCCACATATTTGACTTGAAAATTTGCCACACATGAGGAGATGTGTGAGGATATAAAAGTAAAAGAGTCGCACATCGATGAAAGAAAATCCTTTGTAAAAGCTCATAAGAGGTTGAACCCTTCATATTGCAATTAATTTGATAATGGAACCTCAATTTTTCTTACACACTGGCTAATACAAGGGAACTGATTACACTAGACATATGACGTGCGACCTCGAAAACTTTCTTTGTACCTTCCTCCATATGTATCTTGCATTGCTCTCGGTCCTTATCATCTTTTTAGCGCTAATATGCAGAACCCACGAAGCAAGTAAAAGCCAAACTCAGCAGTCGGTTTCATCATCACATATGGAAAAGCAAATACAACCAACAACCCGAAAAGAAAAGTCCCCCGACACCACCCAGCCACAAACATGAAAGTTCATCCACAGAGAGTACTACCACATTATATATATAACATGTATTAACAAAACAGTGCTTGTTTGTAATTTGAATGCGACATTAGTACTAGTAAATCACACAATTTGCAGTCTAGTCAATATCACATATTTATAAAATTCCCACTACCCTTAACTAGAAAGATACTAATCAACTAGAACCTTGTGAACCAAAAACAGAACCTTATAAAATTCCCCCTTCCCCTTCCCTAGCTAGCATATAATCAAGGACAAATGATATGGTCTAATCAAGGCTCCAAAAGTAATCTGGGAAAATGCTTAAGTTATGCATATATTCCTTTCAAAGTTTTCTTCTGCATGCACAAACTGAAAGGATATTCCGACGAGTGTCACATTGCTTAAGATTTTTTCAATGATAAATGATACTGCAATCTTCTTTTTCCCCACATCCACGCTTTTTGTGTACTTTGCTCAATCGAATCATCGTAACCAGGTATAAAGTGTGCAAGTAGAGAAATGATGTGTCGAAATTAGTTCATTTCTTCGTCACATTTTGTTGGAGATCATCTAAAATGCCACATCAATTTACAAAAAACGTTACATAGCTAACTAGGAAAATATAAAGTTAACCCATCCTTCCTCTTCCTCTCGTGTTTTTCTCCTTATGTTCTTCTTTCTTCTCTATTACCACCCCCAACACTTGCGTACTCTACCCACCTAGGGTCACAACCAAGTTACAATGGCAGGCCCAAAATATAAAACCAAAAAAGGAAAATAATAAAGAAAAAGAAGCCAAAAAAAAAAGAAAAAAAGAAGAGAAAGTCGGAAACTAATTCGGATTCTTTACGGAATTAGATTTCTCTGGGGTCGACAAAAATGGACATGCCAGGTGCCGACTTTGTCCAGTCACCGACAGAGCCGTCACTGTAGTCCTCCCCGAGTCGCTTGATGCACCACATGTCCTCGTCACACGATAGCCTCTTCCAGTGCGGGATTCCTAACCTCAGTGGTTCGCCGCTCGACACCTCCGTCGCCACCACCCCGCAACCGCGCTCCTTCGCCAAGTTGTGCGCGTGGCCGCACAGTGCCTTCACGAACTTTGCCGCGCGTGGGCCCTCTCCTCCGAGCCCGTATAAGAAGTGTACCCCGAATGGCCTGAAAATGTCCGGAACCGACGGCAGCCTCATCCACGGCAAGGCCCGATCCACCAACCTCGTCGTCTTCGCGAGCGTGCGTTTCACGAGCGACGCGCCTTTGACTTCTAATGTGAACACGTCCTTCGAGTTCCAGACGCTGAGGATGGCCCATGACTCGGGCGGGTCGGCCAAGAAATGATCCGCGCCGGGCCACGTCTCCTCCGTCACGCTGCCACGCGGCACGGCGAGGAACGTGCCGAGGCTGAGGCGGTTGTTGAGGACTGAGTCAATGTCGCGGGGGAAGAACTCGGTGGTGGCGAACCGGCGGCGGTAGAGTGCCTCGGCGTCGGAGGGGGAAAGCTCGATGACGGTGACGCGGGAGGAAACCTTGACCCGGTGGGCGTAGACCGGGTTTACAAGGATGGTGGGCGTACGGAACTTGACGTACCCGCATTTGTCGGTGAAGAGCTTGACGGAAGCTTGGTTGTCGTTCTCGGTGGCCATGTACGAATACTCCGCCCCGTTTTCTCGAAACCACTCCTCCACCCTACACACTAGCTTTAACCCTATTCCCATCCTCCTGTTACCAAAAAAATAAAAAAATAAAAAAAATAAATTAATAATTATTATTTAAAAAAGAAAGGAAACGGAGGGGTTTTTGTTTGTTTTTTTTTTTCGGATAACGTCTCGATTCAATAACTCAATGATATTGATTGTAGAACATCACCGTAACAGTGTACCGATGAAAAAATAGGGGTGTGGAGGAGCGATTAGTATACCTGTGAGAAGGAGAGACGCGGAGGCCCAAGATGTAAGCGAGTTTGGTGTAAACAGGGAGGGGCTTGAGAGTGACATCGCCAGCAGTAACGCTTTTACCATTTCTAGCGAGCTTCTTGCCGCATGTAACGGTTTTGATGCAACCTCTTATCATCCCAACTATCTCTCTCTCCTTCTCCGCCCCCACCACCTCCGCCACCTACAAAACAAAACACAAAATTTCAATTAATCAGCACCTAATATTCTTAAACTAAACTAAACCAATTATATTTTTTTTTTTTTGGGAAGAAAAGAAGCTGATGAAATACGTGGTGGTTGTTAATTTGTTGACGCATACCAGCATGAGATAGGCAGGAGAATGGCGGACCCTGCAAATCGGGTCGCCAAGGAGGTCGGTAAAGAGGGAGAGTCCGCCGCTGGGACCGACCTCGCACCGCCTCTCAACGTCTTGAACCATTTCGCAATCCTTGATGGGATCGAACTCTCTCACCACTAAACTAAAAACCATTCCGTCATCCTCGCCCATATTTAACGACGACGATCAAATTGGGGTGCGTATATCAGAACCAAGTCGTTTATTTGTGACGGAGCCGAATGAAAAGGGTAGGAGGAGGGGGGTGTGTTTAAAGAGTGAGAGTGAGCCAATATAACGTGAGTTGTAAGCAAGAAAGCGTATGCTATATATGTCTTACCTCCATCATCACAATACCTTATATAGGCTTCAGATTGCTAAGGCCCCCGCTTATATATTATACTATCAACTTAAAATCCTCAACAAAAAATAAAATAAAATAAGAAATTAACATCTCCAAATAATTAAAATCTTAATTTCGGAAATTAATCTGAAAAACGAAAGGTCTGGGTTAAGGGTTTTGGAATCGGGATGGAACGTAGAGAGAGAGAGAGAGAGAGAGAGAGAGAGAGAGAGGGCCGTTTTTAAGTAGCTAGTTCATCATTGTGGAGATACAGAGTGTCCTTTCCCTTCCCCTTGCTTTCCCTTTATATACCTTATTTTTGGGCTTTTCCTTTTCCCCTATTTCCCTCTCTCTCTCTCTCTCTCTCTCTCTCTCTCTACAATCTCTCCACCTTCTTTTTTTTTTTAATCGTTCTACTTTTTGAATTTTATTTATTAAATAAAGAAAAACCAGAATGCTTTATTAAATTCGGTGCTGCTGCTTGCTGAATATGTAGTAATATAATAAAAAATAATAGATGGTATCGGCGTTTTAGAATTGTCATCGTGCCTTATCTGTATATAAATTTTGTTTTTTCATTTTCTAAAATGCAATAAAAATTTGTTGTCTTTTTACAAATGAAAGCTTTGATAACAATGGCAGTAATGGCATTAAATGTAAAAAAGAATATTGGGGGTCAATAAATACGAAATTCATCATAACAGAAAAAGAAGAAAAAATGGGAAATGGCGGCTTTGGCTGCGCGCGGTTAGCCTACTCTTGGTTGTTTTCTCCAGTTTGTAACATTTGGTTCTACGGAAAGCAGGCGTTTGCCATCATTACCCCATTTCTAATCATTATCCTTTTAAATTTAATCTCTCTCTCTCTCTCTCTCTCTCTCTGTGTCTCTCCATCATGAATACATGACCATCATCGTTGCCTCATCCCACATAGCAATCATCATGTTACCCACAATTTTACTCACATACTTTATATGAAACACCGTAATGTTTTTATTTGATGATATATTATTATTCGATGAGTACTTTAACATATTATTATAAAAAATAAACACTACATAACGATAAACCTCTCATATATGAATCTTTCTCCATATGACGCGAGACCAATCGAATGGAATGAACGGCTTTTAGATATATTCCCCAAATCTAGTTTTCTAATGGAAGTAAACTTCTCTCAGAAAACAATGGAAGTGAAACTTGATGACGTGGCGCAGCGGATGCCGTCCGGTTTGGAAGGGAACTCCCTGGATTTGGGGCCGTCGATTTTAGTTCTGACCGACCACTGATGAGAAGTGAGTAGTGCAGCTGCCACTGCTGCAAAAGCGGCTTTCGCTTTTAACAACCACATCAATGTCATCATGATCACAATTTTGATATTTTCCAGATGGACGGCTGGGATCGTATTATTCTAGGGACAGCTAAGCGACGCCGTCCTACTGCACTTGAGTTGATAGGCAGCCACCACCACCAGCCTAGGGCGACGTTAAAACTTAGATATTTGATTATCCCAACCGTCGATTCGATTTTTTTTAGTAGTGTGCACCGTGGTCTATAGGACGCCGTAGCATCCAAGTGCTGCCACTTCTAATCATATTAAAGCGTTTGATTATCCGCAACGGTCTAGACCATGATTGGGTAATTCAAAAGAAGTGGACACGTCGCCTAAATTTGGCCTACAATTAATACTATTTTCAACCATTTATTATTCAATCATTTTTCTTAAAACCTTTATAATTATAGGCAAATGTACATAAAGTTTTTTGGATCCGTTTGTTTGGCCTCTTTAAATGGAACTGGACTGGACTGGACTACAGTTCCATGTTTGATAGGTGCTGGGACTAAGTTAAGTAGGACTAAAGGGAACTCGTGTTGACTAGAGGCCTTCTTAAAGGTTCTTAGCGAGGCCCTCCCCAAACCATGGGATTTGCTAAGATCGGCTTCTTCCTCCTCCCCACGAGCCCCTCTATGAGTTCTGGGCTTCTTAATTTTGGATTTCGATGGGATTTAATTAAGATCTGCAGACTATCCTTAGCAAGCTGCTTCGCTTCGTCGTGGTCATCATCCTCTAAAATCTCGAATCTCATTTTTCCCACCACTAACATCAACCACAAAAAATCCCCCATCTCATATTTCCCACCACCAACCATCACCCACCAAAAAATCCCCAATCTCATATTTCTTGCCGCCACCACCGCCATGGATGAGCCAACCGAGAAGCTCCAAAACCTTAAGTCGCTGAATTCTCTAATGCTCAAGGAAACCAAGGACCACCAGCAACAGGTGGAGTTGTTGGTGCAGGGCAAGGCATATTTGGAGTTTGAGCTAAGTCGGTTCCGCCGTGGAGATTGAGCCTCTTGTGAGCGAGTTGAGTGAGTATAGCAAGGAAAATGTTGGGTTAGAGTTGTAGAAGAGTGTTTGTGGTGTTTTTGTTCTGACCCAGATAGAGCAAATGATGTGAGATAAAGTTTGAGATTGAGAGGGCGATGAGTAGAGAGATGGTGAAATTGTGAAGTTAATGAGGGAAGTGGAGAAGCTTGCTGGTAGACTCAAGATCGAGAAGGGAAGCTGAGAAAGAGATTATGTGAAGAAATTAATAATAAATTAATTTCGACAATAAACTACAATATTATTTTCATTATCCTACTTGTTAATCCGACACTGCACCAAACGCTTCACTAAGTTAGTCCAGCATAGTCTAGTCTAAGCCAGTCCAGCTTAGTCCCTGAAGCTAATCCAATCTGAGACAGTCCGGTGCAACAAACGCCCCATTTATGTCTTTGAAGGAGAATTTTGTTTGGACAATCAATAGAATAATGATATATTTATACTCAAGAATTTGTTATGCACGTCTTATATTGAATATAAGACTTCTCATTTTTTGTTCAAAAAAAAAAAAAAAAAAAAAAGACTTCTCATTTTAAATGACGAAAAATATTACTAGACTATAGTAGCAAGTAACTATAAAATAACTATATCGAATTCAACTAACCTATAATGAGGGGTATTCGAATTTTAGTATAGAGAGGAAATCACATTTTCCTAAGACCATCTCCAAAGGAGATGTCAAAAAATGCGACATAAACATATAACAGTAATAAATGACGTACCATTTACTCCAACCGGAATGTCAAATGTGACATGGAAAAGAAGGCTAAGCTGACATGGATAAAGAGATGTCAAATTTGAAGCTACCTTCAAATATGGCTTTTGTTATTTCCAAATGCATTCCACTTGCCTTACCTTATATTCTAGCATATTTGAGTATTATTTTATTATTTTTAAACCAACAACAACCCTACTTTTATTTTTTTTTGTTTAAAAAAAACGTAAATGAATAAATAAATTTTAACATATCGGGTGGAATAAAAATATTAATAATATGTCAAATTGTCAAGTTAGTCCTCAAATTGAATTTTGATGTTTTCAATTTGTACGTTTCTTTTAGAGATATTCTAACCAACTTGTCTCAACTTAAGATTGCGTGGCGAGCAGTTAAAGTGGGGCATAAAAGTATTTCGAAAATTGTTTTGTTTGCTATAATTTTAATGCTTTTGTGATAATGGGCTAAAATTATTGAGCACGTTAAAATTAAAAAGGTGGGAAAGTGGGAAAAAAATGCGAGGAAAGCAAATAAAAGAGACGCGATGTTTGGCACAGAGGCAAATATTTTATACAAATTATTTTGCACACTACACTTAATATATATTAGACATATAAAGACATTTTTTGTAAGTTGGGGGTGGGCGTGCACACAGCAAACGTCTATATGATTGATATGCTTATTAAAACGATATACATAAATTTGCCAAATAAATTGATATACATAAGAGACAGATTATTAGATTAAGATCAGTGGGTCCCTACTTTTGTGGGTCTGGTTTAGAATATCTGTGGGCCACTACTTGTGGAGTGGATGTTGGCTTTGAGATTATTTGGGTTGATTTTAGTTTTGGATTTGTCTCTCATTGGAAACCAGCAATTATTGTTATAAAGGTGCTGTTCACACTAATTCTCACTTTCCATATATTTTGTTAATTTTTTATCATTGATCTTTTTTAATTCATTCGATCTGACGACTATAAATTGAGAGAAATTTATGAGAAGTAAAAATAAGTTTGCAGATAATACTACCATTATTGTTATTAGTATTTTTAAGGGCTAATTTGGTATTGTGCTTTTTAAAAATTTGCTTCTATTGTACTGAGGATATAAATTGTTGTAAAATAAAATTGTTGTGTGTTTGATAAACTTTTTTTTTTTTTTTTTTTGTAAAAGTGCTTTTAACAAAAAAAAAAAAAAAGAAAAGTGTTTGAGTGTTTGATGAACATTTATATAAATTGTTCTGAATATGTTAAATGACTTAAATTGATATGATATTTGATGTGATATAATAAAAGTTAAAGATAATAATGAAGGGGCGGTGATAGTAATTTTATAAAATATGTGAGGGTATACTTGTCATTTGAAAATTTCATTAAATGACACTGATTACTATGCTTCTAAAAGCATGATAGACATGCTTATGCTTTCCTATGCTTTTTTACTGTTATTGACAACTATTTTTAAAATATAAATACTTTTTTTTGTTTTAGCAAATACATTTGATGTTGCAGATTTTTTAATAAGCTGTTTTTTTTTTAAAGTACCACAATCCTAAACCAGCCGTTAGAAAAAAATTAGGATTGTCATAAACTATGAATTATATTTAGATGGGGTTATATCTCTTTACATGCATGCTTGTTGAATGAGCTACTATTATTTACGCTATAATTTCTTAATGTTTTAACTTTTAGAAGCCAAATACTTCTCTTCATAAGAAGAACACTCTCTCTTATGAGTGATTCAGTTGTGCAAATGGACTACATGCGCTTACAAATAGATATGACATTGAAGTGATGAGTGCTTAAAATCTTAAAAACTATAGGTAATTGGTCATTAGAGAGATTAAGGATGCGTTTGTTGTATTGGATTATTTCAGACTGGACTAGCTTCAGGAACAAAGTTGGACTGACTTAGAATAGACTAAGCTAGACTGATTTAATATAGCGTTTGGTGTAGTATCAGACTAAGAAGCATGATAATGACAAAAAGAAAAAAAGAACCCTTGATAACAAATTTTTTAGATGAAAACCCAGCTGAAAACCAAGAACCCAAATGAAATCAGAAGAATCGAAATGAAAATCACATTGATTTTTCAACCGATCGAGGACTTAGAAATACCCAAAT